TATATTCCATGGGGAAAGTTGTTTAGTTTCATGGTCTGAGCACGTCTGCAAATTTTTCGTTACACCGTCCTTTACACCCCGTATAGACCATGAAACTGAACAAATTTCCCCATGGAACATACCTATTATGGTGGTCAAAGAAAATAAATTTTCGACTCCCCATAAAAATCAGTCAGCTGATTGTGAAATTTGTACATAGGCTGTTCCGTAAATTGTTAGTTAAATGAAAAATAGTAAGAATTTAAAAAAACTTTATTCATAGCTTTTCAAAATATTCTCCTCCATCCTCAATGCACTTATGCATTCGGCTGAACCAGCTTTCAAAACATTCAAAAAACTCTTCTCGCGGAAGGTCGAAAAATAACCGTTGAAATTTTTCGACGGCTTCATTTGCTGTGTTAAATTTTCGTCCACGAAGCATTTTTTTCACCTTGGGAAATAAAAAGAAATCGCACGGAGCTAAATCGGAGATGTACGGAGGATGGGGTAACATTTGTACCCCCGAAGATGCCAAAAAGTCGACGGTTCTAGCAGCAGTATGAGCGGGCGCGTTATCTTGGTGAAAAAGAATGCCACGCAGGCCACTCCTTGGGCGCTCGCTATTCATCTCCTCGAATGCTTGAGGCAAACAAACTTCGGTATACCATTCACTAGTAACCGTTCTACAGTTTTCTAGTGGAATTACTGCTACTGGTCCACTGCGTCGAAAAAAAGCCGCTATAATTTTTTTATTAACGCTTCGACCGCGCACAACTTTTGTTGGCAACTCGTCCTCGTCAAACACCCATTGCATGGATTGCTGCTTCGTGAGCGGATCGTAGCTGTAGATCCAAGTTTCGTCAGTTGTAAGGATGCAGGATACGTTTTGCGAAGTTCCTCCGTCAAACTTTTTCAACATAATTTACACCAATCAACACGACGGGCTTTTTGATCTTCCGTGAGAAAATGAGGTATCCATCGCGAAGCAACCTTCCTAACTTTAAGGTGTTCATGCAGGATGGTGGAAACCGCCCGTGATCCAATATTTATTTTAGCCTGAATCTCCCGATGTGTAATGTTTTTATTCTCTCGCAATAGCCACTCCACCCTGATGACGTTTTCATGAGTTACTGCAGTTGGAGGTCGGCCGGGTCTGTGGTCATCGTTTAGGTTCTCTCAACCACGTTTAAATTCACGGAACCAATAAGTTATTGTTGCTAGCGCAGGAGCAGACTCCCCAAAAGCAGCTTGTAAATTTTCGTGAGATTGCTTGAAGGTTAAACCTCGTTTATAATCATAGAAAATCATAGCATGAAAAGCTTCCCGCGGGACGTCCATTGTTGCGAACAAAAAAAGAGTAACAGATTATCTTCAAAAATATTAAAAAAAACTATTAATAGGTGGCCAGTGATTTTCACCATGCAGATTTATATTGAAATTTGCTGCTAGCTAAAAATAGTTCCTGGAGAAAAGAGATTATATTTACCCCGTGGCTAAAGACTTCCGGAACAGCCCTATGGGAGGTCGAATTTTCGGTTCGAGCACGCCTGCAAAGTTTTCGTTACACTGTCTCTTACATCTTGTATAACAGCTTACACCACGCTCCACCTAATATAGGGGAAGCTCGTGTCCAGCAGTGGACTGGTTGTAGTAATAGTAGGTCAACTTACTTGCCGTAGCATAGCTCCAATGAGTATCTCAGTGCCAAGTTTGCTTGGGCAGATTGAATCCAAGGCTGAACTTTCCTCCCTTAAATGTTTGAACTCTTGCAGCTTCAGAACTGACTCCATGTGACCAAAGGTTTGTATCAGCGGTATTATCTCCACACCGATGGTTTTTGCTTCGGTTAGGAATACTAAAAGCTGAAAAAAAAATTGGAGTAAGTTCCGGGAAGGTTCCGGGTTTAAGTCTCTACTGGTCTCTATTCTACAGGTTAGCCATTTTAAATCTCTAAAGTTAAAATCACTAAGTTAAAATGGTTAAAATTAGCAATTTTAAGTTGTGCTATTCCACGAAAGCCCAGTTTTAGAAAATTAAACAGAGGTTTTTGACAGGACTATAATTTGATTTTGACGCTATTAAATTCAGTGTTGCAATTTTAAAAAACAGATAAATTTTAGTAATAAATGAAAAAATCTGTAACTGGTAAAAATATTTTTATTTTTGGTGACACTCAAAATCCTTCTGTACCACTTTTGGTTCCACCACTTAAGAACCTAACAACCCGGCCCCACTCTAGAACATTCTGACTAGGTGCTAATTTAAAACGTTCTGACCCGGTGCCACTCTATTACCTTTAAATCTGTTGCCACTCTTAAACTTTACTTCCAGGGGACACTCTAAAGCCTCACTATCAAATTGTTTCCACTCTTCGGCTATACTACTGGGTGACACTCTAAAACCTCCCGATTAAATTGTTTTCACTCTTAAACTTTCCTACCCGGTGACATTTTAAATCCCGATCACCTTTTTTCCACTCTTGAACTTTCTGATGTGACCAATAATTACACAAATCACTCCAAAACCCCACCCATTTTGAGATATTCTGACAGTATTATTTTTAAGAGGGACCTTTTTAGTGGCCGCTAAGATTAGCGATCTTAGCAGTTTTAAATTTTTAAAATGCTTAAATTTGTGCGCCGTGGAATAGCACTAATCGGCTAAAGCTAAGTTTAGCGCTGTCACTTAATTTTAAGTTTTTTAGAGATTATAATGCTGTCATTTGAATTTGACAGTGACGTGTAGAATAGCAAACGGTTATAGAAATGTCAAATTGGCCTTAGCGATTTTAGTAGCGCACAAGGAATTGGATCTACTGAGGCACTAAAAAGTTGATATTTATCATCACTTTCTGAATCCTATTCAAGTTGGGAGCGATAGTCTGATTAGGATACCTATAGCTAAACCACCTGATTGTCTTAAAAGACGTATGATGGTTCCGTGCTTCGGAGGGTATCTTAAGCCATCAATTGCGGTTGCTGTCTATGATAACTCAGACAAAATATGTCGTTACACTAGCATGTCAGAGGCCTGCTACTATTAGTAGGTGGTTTAAAAACTTTTACACTAGGGTTCACCGCGTCTTTGAAAGATTCGTCATTTTAAATACTTTCTTTTGTTTGTTTAACTTTTTTTTTCTTTTTTTTTAATGCAGTAATTTCAAAGTTGTATTTTAAATTTCAAATTTATTCCATGTCAAAAATACAATCCACAACACATAAATACAAATTAAAAATAAACTTAACTAAAAGCACCACCCCAGGACAACCCCGGCCCAAAAGTGCCCATTACACTACTGGCATTACCACGTTGTATTGCAATGGACAACCTTTGGACCAGGAATGAGCCAGGGCGAGGGTCCATACCTTTATCTCTCATCCGCCGTCCTAACTGTCTCACAAAGGCTTTTGCCTCCGCACACCAGCTCCCAGCCGTTTCAACCGCTAGAGGGACGAACTCGTACCCTTGGGCGAGATCAGCGTACTTCGTCCTCTTTTTTGTGGCTGCAGATTCGGCGGCCGCCCCTGCTGCCTGAATTGTCTGGCCAAGATGGCAAGCGGCGAAGGTACTGACACAGGTCGCGTCCCAAAGCAAGCATCTGCCTTTATGCCATGGGACGAGTGTTAGACCATCTGGTCTTTTGCCATCTGTACGGCTCAATCCAGGCGGCTCTAATACGCATGGGACATTAGCCGATATGAGAGCCCGCCGGACGATATCGTTGAGGGCGTGATGTCGCGGGAACCTACCTGCGCAACGACAACAACTCAAGCCATGATGGCCATTGGCCTCCACCATGGACCCACAAATGCAGCGATGTGGTTCGCATACATCGCAGCCAAGGCGAAGAGCCTCCGCCACACGCAGCGAGTCGTTGTCTAGATGCGTACCCAGGTTAGGTGAAGGCAGTGCGTGTAACCACGCCCCGGATTCTGACCGCGATACCGCCCGCAGTCTAGCCAAATCAGCATCCGCAGCCCCACCAACTAGTTGGGAAGACGTAACCCTGCAACCGAATTCATCCCACGCACGCTGACAGTGGGGATCTGAAGACAAAGACTCACCCGGGTAGCCAGACGACCATGCTCCAAAGGCGCCGGATCCATGCGGAATGCTCACCCTGTTACCGTTGGGAAGAATAGTAGTAACAAAGCTCGACACCGCATGAACCGACGCCAAAAAAGCCGGCAGGCTCACATCAGTAGCTCGCCGAATACCCAGACCCCCATGCCGAATGGGTAAAGATGCCTGGGCCCACTGAACATCGCTTACGCAGATATTCAAAATAGACTCTATGGAGTCTTTAAGTGCGTTGTCAAAAGCCGTGAGACTGTCGGGGTACATCCAAGTTGGAGCGGTACGGAGCAGGTTCATTAGCTTGGGGACCGCAAAGTACATCCGCAACAGAGTTAAGGCTATGTGGGCCGACAAATTCGAAAGGCGTTCCTGCGCAGCGACAAGAAGCCTTTCTCTTGCCAAGATAGCTTCCGGAATAGAAGATGAAAAAATAGGGGAACCAAGGAGGGAAAAACTGTCAGTGTTCAGCTCTTTTTTTGGAAAACTTCCAAAATTTTCACCGCAGGCAGGATTTGAACCTGCGACCTTCGGCATCAGTACTGCCGACGCCCTAACCAACTGGGCTACCGCGGTTCTAATCGAGCCCGCGAAATTATGGAAGTATATCTTGTCCACTATCGCGTGGATGGGCTCCATCTACCGGGATAGTTTTTGCAACTAATTCCCAGCGACTAATTCATTTTTTACAGATTTAATGTAGTCAAAGCGATGAAAACCCGCGATAAATTGAATACCAAATTTTAAAACACTTCTCGTGTTAGGTAAACAATTTTTGGAAAACTTCCAAAATTTTTACCGCAGGCAGGATTTGAACCTGCGACCTTCGGCATCAGTACTGCCGACGCCCTAACCAACTGGGCTACCGCGGTTCTAATCGAGCCCGCGAGCCCATCCACGCGATAGTGGACAAGATATACTTCCATAATTTCGCGGGCTCGATTAGAACCGCGGTAGCCCAGTTGGTTAAGGCGTCGGCAGTACTGATGGCGAAGGTCGCAAGTTCAAATCCTGCCTGCGGTGAAAATTTTGGAAGATTTCCAAAAATTGTTTACCTAACACGAGAAATTTTGGTATTCAGTGTTCAGCTCCTTCAGCCCGGGAACAAGACTTTCAAAATAAGGAAAAACACAGCGTGAATCCGGACCACAAGGGAAAAAATCGCACTTGGCCGTATTAACCTCAAGTCCCAGCTCCTTTAAGCGGGGCAATAGAACCTGCAAATCCCGCTCCAAGACATCCGGCTTGCCCCCAATAGTACCATCATCAAGATACCATACGTTAAGAGGGTACTGCAGGTCTTCTATTACTTTCTGGATGCCGAGACTAAACACGAGAGGGTCAAGTGGATCCCCTTGCTGAACACCAACTTGAGAAAGAATCAAGTCCTGGCCGTAAAAAAGATTAGAAGGAGAGGAATACAGTTGATGAAGGAAAGGATACAAGGAAAGAAACTTGGCAAGGGCCTCACTAAGTAACACGTCTCATTCGAGGGAGTTAAATGCATTGCGGATATCGAGCTTCATGATAATACAGTCCGCATTAGTTGGTTCCACTGCGAAAGCCCGGACAGCATGAATGTCTGCCTCGCAACCGAGTTCTGTACCGAAGCCCAGCTGATGCGGACTCAAATACGACGCCATTTCAGGTCTGACAGAACGGCATCCGACCTTGGCAGCTAGGCGACGAAACACGCTGCCGATAGCTATGGGTCTAATTCCCCCATCCTTCTTCTCCAGCGCGCATAGAGTAGCCCCGTACAAATAAGGGCATACCGCAGGATTGACCAAACCACTAAAAAGGAAATCGACAAGTTTGGTAAGGTTTTCTAAAAGACGAGGACCATTGTCACCAGCCGAGCTATCAGTCAGCTCTTTTAAATGTGAAGGGCGAATGCCGTCTAAACCTGCAGCGGAGCTATTGAAAAAAGAACCCAGTGCCAACGCAACTGAATCCTCCTTCGCTACTAGGGCTGGTGTGGATCTTCCCTGCGCTAAAGGTGAAGAAAGGGGGCGGGTAGGAGCAGGATGTTTCGACTGTAAAGAATTTAATGTGTCGGGACCAGCACTTGCAAAAGAATCATCCGAGAGCAACAGACGAGCGGTACCCCTCAGGTCACCCCCATGGACCTTGGCTTCAATATATTTAACCACTGAAGGAAAAGGCCCGGAGGAGACTGAATCGTCACAAGCAACGTTTAACTAACTAGGTATCATTCATTACAATAAAACAATTTAAACGGATTTTAGTTGATTGTAGTCATCCGTTGACCACGGACACTGAAATATGTCCGAAACATCGGTTTAATTTAAAAACCCAAATATACCGGGAGTAACGGAAAGGGTACAAGACGAAAGGAGGTCAAGATACTCACGAAACTGAACAACTTTCCCCATGGAACATGGGTCGAAATATGAAAAAAAATGTGGACCTCCGATAGTAGGTACCTAAATCAATTAGCTGATTGGCGATTTGTATGGGAGGTCCAATTTTTTTTTCATATTTCTATATATATATTCTTTATTGTGCTTAAATTACAATAAGAAAATTAACACATAAACTTAGTTCACAAAGGTGAGCTTATCTCTATAAAGAGATCTCTTCCAGCCAACCTGTACAGCTGAATGTGAGATGATATATACGGTGACAAGATTGCACAAAGAGAAAAAAAAGATATATATACATGTACCTAAACAAATACTATAAAATACAAAATACATAAATATATCATAAAATATACAATACTTATATAAAATACATACAATTACATACATACCTACAGCTTATATATACATATATTAAGGAAGTTGAGATAGATAGTGCTCTTTCAACCTTTTTTTGAAAGAGGATATAGAGGACAGTCTTGGACTGTCTTTGGAAGCTTGTTCCAAAGTTGTGTAGCTCGAACGGAGAAGGAGTTAAACAGGAATTTGGTATTGGCCCTAGGACACTCAAGTACCTTAGTGATACATGCGCGCCTAGGCCGGGGATCAGGAGGTAAGAAATGAAAGCGGGAGCGGAGATACTCGGGAGAGGACGGGTCATTGAGGATCTTATACAGGACAGACAGGATGTGCACATCACGACGAAGACGGATAGGGAGCCATTTTAAACGAGCGCGAAATTCAGAGACGTGATCATATTTGCGAAGTCCGAAAATAAATCGAATAGCTAGATTTTGTAGGCGCTCAAGCTTATTAAGCAGCTCCTCGGTCACATCTAAGTAACACACGTCAGCATAATCAAGAGTTGGAGTTGGAGTTGGTTCTACCCATGTTCCATAGGGAAAGTTGTTCAGTTTCATGAGTAACTTGACCTCCTTTCGGCTTGTTATACCCTTTCCGTTACTCCCTGTACAACTAAAATCCATTTTTTTAATTGTAATTCGTAATTTTGATTTGTTACTTTTACTACCGCTTAGCCTTATGATCTTCCTTAGAACGTTGTCAACTTACTCAATAAAACGTGTTTAGTAAGATAATAAGCATGTCGTTGTCACTCAATTCACGACAACATATTTAATAATAGCAGGTTTTATTGCAAATTGAATTTCTTATCATCAAAATTAGTTTATTGTTAGTGTCGATTCGGGAAATAAATTCTCCCAACTTACCTTAAATTATCGCTGTTACTTTCCGGCAAATATGGGAGGTATCTGTCTTGTCACAGAATAGAGAATTTACAGAGGATAGCCTTGCCCCTTATTCCAATCACTTATACCTACGCAATAAGTTTGCTATTTATCTTTCTAAATTTTTGAAATGAGGTACCTGGATAAAGCATAATTAGGTACATTAGTTACATTAGGTAACTCTATCACAGTTACTCTATAACAGACTAAAATAATATTTGCACTTGCGAGTCGTCATTCTGCCGTCATACTAGCCGGTTTGACATAGTTTGGTTTCGCGCTTAAACGACGCCGTGTAAAGGTGTCTGTGGGAGTGTAGTGACGTTTCCTTGTACCTAGCCGTCTCTCTGTATTCCATTTGCTCATGACATATCTTATAATTTGATGAAAAACGCACGCCATCTATTAAGAGAATTCATTTCCCGAAATGAGGCCTTAATAACACTTATACTCATATACTCACATCATTTATGTCGTAGTGCTCAGATTTACTCAAATTTTTGAGTTCATTTACATACGGAAACATATCTTCATATTCCATAAGCAAGGCGTTAGCTCCTAACATCTTCACTTCTTGCAACATTGACTTCAGAAAAGACAACTTTGGTGGAGCACCTTTCAAATCTATGTGCACTACCACATACTTGAATTTGTTTGTTCTGATTTCAATTTGGTCCTCATTGCTTTGGATTTTATTAGTCATCAAGTACAAGAAAAAACAGTTCGCAGTTAGCACAAATACCAAGCTCCTTTTAAAACGACATAACTTGCGATAAATTTTGTGCAGCATGTTGAGTTTTTTGTTGGTCATCCTTTTAGATACACTTTTTTCAAGTTTGAAAACACTTCTTTGTTTGGTGTAGTTTCGTTTAATAATTTGTTTTCATTCACAATTTCTTCAGGTTCTTACACCGAGTGTAACACAGTTTCTTAACCATCTACTAGTACTAATAGTAGGCCGCTAACATGTTTGTGTAACGACCGCCGCCTAATTCGTTCAGCTAATTTTCCATTATATTTTTATTGTTTTCTTTTTAGCACCGTACGATACGCGTTTTTATAACCGCTTACTTGTTTGCACTACTCAATAGCTACTAATAAATAGCTGAAACTGTAGTAGGTACCTACTAACTTACCTGCTTTAGCACTTGTATGTGCTCTTCATTCTTTCTCCTTCATGAGCAAAATAACCTAATTAGAACTAGGTGACTGAATACCGACTATCGACACAAAATATAAAGTTTACAGAAGGGTCACTCGAACCTATTTAGGATTTTCCCGATTGTTACTTGTTACATAGCCAGGATTCATTACAAAAACGTATTAAAATTCTAACTAAGCCAATTTCAAAAGCAATAAACATGAAATCATCTTCTCTTAATATTAACTCAAGGTATACCCAAACGGTATATACAAACGACCTAGTTCACCCAGAACTCATAAAGACACTGCCTTTTTCTAATCCAAAAAATATGAAAAAAAAATACGTTATTTGTGATGTGAGTAACAAACAAACTTCGATATTAAAGGCAAATTTGTTTTGTCTAATATTGAAACAAAGATATTTCTTTCGTTGTAAAGACATTCAGTTCTATTTGCTGATTCACAAGTAATTTTATTTGCTTTTTCGTACCTATACGAAATTTAATAAAGAGAAATTTGGACTCGCGTGTTATAGATTCCGTACCATTATCTAAAAATATGCAAAAATATCACTTTTATTGTTTTTCTCAGGTAAGTTTGCTGTTTTGCTAGCATATCCCATTTTAGTATAGTATTTTGTATAATAAATAACCAATATTAAAAAAAATATTTAATAAAGAAAGAACTAAACTCATTTTTGTGAAAGATAAATTTTATTATACTTCACTAGCGATAGGTACTGTAATTTGATTAGTGTAAAATACAACTACATAGTCTTAACTACTGGTACATTTTGTATGAGAGGTACAATTTTTTTTGCATATTTCGACCTATGTTCCTTGGGGAAAGTTGTTCAGTTTCACGGGCTGGTTCACCCCTTAAAATATTTGCAGTTGATTTTTTTACACCTTATAGATATAGGTTTATATTCAGCACATCGTACTACATCATACGGCTTTATCCGCTATATCTCATAGATAGTAATAGTTGACACAGTTGTAATTTAGACGGACGGATAGGTAGTCGATCGAGCCTTAGTAATATGTCTACCGAACCCTAAAGTGTAACTTATTCCTATAAGCAATACAACGCGTTACATTAGACTTTCTTCTTCATTGTTATCAATTGGAGATTGTTACCGAATCGTCCAACAACCCAATGAAGCCGAGAGTTTTTCAACCAACGATTATACTTTGAGAAGGAAGAATAACTGACTGACCTAGGCATTACTTCATGGTACCAAGCTAAG